TACTTGCAGAAACAGTATGAATATAAATGATAGGGTACAATAGCTTTGAACTATTAAGACATACTGTGTGAATTCAAAGCATTGGTTATTCAAAGCAGGGTTTGGGAAAAGATGAGAGCATTTTCTTCTCAGTTACTTAATTTGGGGCAATTACATAAAAGATACTTTTATTTTATAAAACTTTGCAGTCTGATATTGTTTGTCTCTTAACCCTTCTGGACACTATTCCCCGGTGCTGCCATTTCTTTGGTCTCATTTCTTTCTGAGTACAATTTTAAGTTTGTTTTTTTTTTCAAAGGTTCTTGGGGTTCCATTTTCCCCTGGCTCTTCTCCCTCCTGTTGCTCTCCCTGGGATCTTTCATCTCTTCTCATAGCTTTAATTACCAGGTATGCCTCATAAACACAGGACAGATCTTTCTTCAGCTTCAGTCTTCAATGTGGGATGAGTGAGCACTGCTGTCAATGTGTGTAAAACTGAACCTGTTCATTCTCTTCTATAACCTGGTTCCTTCCTGTTTCTGTGGTCTCCTGTCAGGGACTCCCTAGCTTGAATTTTGTGGTGTAATAAGAAGAGCTATTGACTGAGCACTTATTTTGTGCCGCAGACATTGAGCACTTCACTTGCATTGTCATACTTCATTTTACCACAGCCCTATGGGATAGTCGTTGTTGTTATCTCATTTTACTGATGAAATTCTAAGAAGTTAACATGGCCCAGGTCATATAGCTTGGAAGTGGCAAATCTGGGAGTTGAATACAGGTTTCTCTAATACCAACTTTGTGGGAAGATATCAGATTGCACACAATCTCTGTTATTTGTTACTAGTAAAAACATACTGTACATCTTAAAATACCACAAAGTTCTTTCCATCTCAGCCTTTTTAGTTTGATATATAATTAAAGACTCGGGGATAACTGTAATAAGAGTGAAGTGATCACTTTCAGCTTCTGGGAAGGTCATATTATTAACTATTTGTTGATAATAGTTCCTACAGGAGAAATCTATCAAGTCCTTTACACTCAGTGTGTAGTTGTATCGAGTTGTGATTACTTATGGGCCCCTAGCAAGCATGCTCTACTCTTGTTTAATGCGGCTCTACTGAGATGTGCTCTTAACCCCTGGGTTTAGACATCCCCAGTTCTCCCCTCCTTGGTATGGTATCTTCCCAGACAGTGTTCTCAGTCTAGAACCTCTTCATTTTCCTTCCTTCTATTTGTACCTTCCTCTTGCTTGGCAAACTTCTCCACTTTAACAACTTAGCTGAGGCATTGCCTTGTGTAAGAAGCTTCCCTGATCTTCTATATCTGTATCTCTAGGTTAAAATCATCTTGCTCTGTATTACTTAAACATCTTCTATATATAGTTGTGTATACTTGATGGTCATGGTGTCACCATGTACTAATACTTGTTTATGTTTTATTCACTCTCATTAGAAGATGAGTACACTGAGCTAGAAAACCATGTCTTAGGCATTTTTATGTCTGTAATGCCCAATGCCTAATGTACTTTTATTGAATTACTGTCTGACCAAATGACTAAATGATTGTTTTTTTTGCTAGTGTCAACTTTTCCAGATGCTATAAACCTAAGAACACTGTATGCTAGTTTTTTGTTTTTGTTTTTTTCAATTGAAGGGTTAATGTACTTGATCAGTAATCAGAAGATTAAAAGACAGAGAATGTCTTCCATCTTTCTTTTCATATAGGACCACAGCCAACTGTTCCCAATCAGTGATAATTTACCATATTTTAAGCAGATGTAATGACATGTACATTTTAACATGTGTTAGATTGTGCATCTTCATTTTTTTAAAATGTTGCATAGAATTTTAAGTGGTAGGTGAATGTTAACTTTTTAAATCCATTATATTCTTAAAGTATAAATTCAATGTTTTGTTATCAGAGATTGCAGTAATTCATGCTGTGATTTTTATTTGTACTGCTAATATTATGTTTACTCACTAAGACTTTATTTATCAAGTATTTAATTAAAGTCATGTTTTCAAGTATATAGCATAATAATCTAAAAAATTAACTATTTTCAACAGTAGTCAAAGTAAAAGAGAAATCTAGAGAGACTTATTTTGTGCCAGTCTCAGCATAATTATAATTTTACAAAGCGATCTGTATGTTTCAAGGACTTCTCATTTGAACCTAATATTTTATTAAGAAAGGAGAAAACATTTTTTAAAGTTTGTTTGTTTAGAGAGCACCAGCAGGGATGAGGGAGAGAGAGTTAGAGAGCGAGAATCCCAAGCAGGCCCCACACTCTTACTGCGGAGACTGATGCAGGACTTGAACTCAACAACCATGAGATCATGACCTGAGCCAAAACCAAGAGTGAGACACTTAACCGGCTGAGCCACCCAGGTGCTCCTAGAAAGCTTTTAAAGTAAATAGCTAGCTTTAGGAGCAATGTCTCAAAATGTGTAATAGCAATTACTTGGAAGGTTTTTTTTTTAAGCTGAAATCTTGACAAAAATGGAGAGAAAACATAAGATGTAACCTGTGGAATAGAGAAAGAGGGACAGCAACCTGTTTCTTGCAGTAAGCTATAGGAGGACTTGGGATTGTGGATGTTTGTGTGCTGTTCTATACAAGGTGTATAATTAAAATTTTAGAATAAATGATGCACATAAACATAATATGGGCATTTGTTCCCCCATGGTAATTGTTTTGGTTCATTGTCAGGTTTGAAGCATGGTAGATCTTGAAATGGATTATATATTTTTCATGGGACAATTGAATTAGTTTTAATATTCTTTTAGTCTAATTCATTGGATAGCTAGTAACTTGAGTTACCTAAAATTTATATAAATGCTACATTATCCATCACTTTTGGATAGTCATTTACTGTATTTTGTTTAGGAAATTATTTTGTATTTAAATCTTATTTGATATTTGGTAGTTATAAATTCTTCAAACAAAATAATAATGTTATACTCTTAAAAATCACACACAGCTTCCTTAAGAAGTAAATTCATATTTTTCAAAGTTGATAATGCAGATAAAATTTCTACATGCATAGAGGTATCCGGACCTCACATACAACCTCAGCTCCTTAAATTCGTAATTTCCCATGGTTCTCTTTGACATTCCCATTGACCCCACCACTGGCCCACAATATGGGTTATGAGGACGCTGCTAATTGTGGCTTACTTTATTCTTGCACTTACTCAAGCTTAGACATACTTCCATTTATTCCCAATGGTGGGTAGAGATGGTTGAAACATTTAGAAGACTAAGGCTCTTGGATAACAAAGGACATTAATATGGAGAGTAAGTTAATTTCCTTCACAAAAGCCAAAACCCTCAACTACAGGACCCCACATGATCTGGCCTCTGATGTGTTTCTGACTCCTTGTCCTTCCCTGCTCCATTTGCACTGGGCTTTACCACACTGGCTTGGATGCTGATACTACAACATTCCTGCATACCCCCATGTTAGTGCCTTTGCCCTGGGTGTTCTCTCTTGTCCTAGATACTTGTATGACTAACCTCCTTTAAGGCCTTCCTCCTTACCTTCTCAGTGAGGCCTGCCCTGATCACTCTATGTAAAGCTGCAGCCCAGCTCCCGTTCCCATTCCTGCCTCCCTTTAGCCTGCTTTACTCTATATTTTGTTTTTTTATAGTATGTAATCACCTTCTAACATACTACATAGCTTATAATGTACTTATTTCTTACATTTATTATTATTTTTTCTTGCCACTAACATGTAAATTTAATAAGGGAAGAGTTTGTGTCTGTTTCTGTTTGTTTTTTGTTGTAGTTATTTTAATAAACAGGTATATCTCAAGTACCTAGAACACTGGTGTCTAGTGTACAGTGGATGGTCAGTAACTATTTACTTGGTTTAATAAATGACCAGTTTGGTTTTTGCAAGACCAAGTGTGTTCGCCCTCAATGCCCAACCCATAACTGGACTGCTTTACACCTCAACTCTGTCCTTTCTTTTTGTTATAGGGATCCTTTGAATACATCTAGAATTTAAAACAAAACAAAACAAAAAACCCTAAACACAACAGATCCAGGAGAGTCAGGGCTAGAGAGATGAAAGAATACCCCTTCTTAACATCTAAGCTCTGAATTTTTAACCCTTCTTGATCGTCAGTGAAGATGACGATGGCAGAAACCCTGACTGTATCCCAAAGGAATTGTGGCCCTGTGGTTTTAACATGATGGCCGTGTTATGCTGTGACTTTCTCTCTATATTCTCAAATCCATGGTGTTAATGAATGATCTTACCTCTTATATTGTGCAGTGGGTCAGCCTGAAACAGAAATGAGCTTTAGTGGTAGACTGAATTGCTAAGATAATAGGGCCATTATAAAAGGTTTGTTCCTTTATACCTATGCCAGGTTTAAGAAGTCTAGGAGTTAAGTGACTTAGGTTCTGGTTTTGACTCTGTAAGCAACTCGTTATCTGATAAGTCTGGGTTTATGTTTCTTTGATTATAAATTGAACTAGACTTTTTTTTTCTCTTTTTTTTCTGATTCTGTGAAGTTTAGCTATGACATCAATAGTATTTTAAGGTTTATAATTTTAGGAGCCCTTTTTCAAAATATGTTAGCACTTAACTTAATAATCATCTTATACTGTATTTAAGATTTATACTTGGAAAGGTGCTGCATATCTAACAACAGAGTTGAACACACCACTGGTGTGTGTGAATCTTTAGCCATGATAAATAGCTCATGGGTTAGAATCCTTTTCCTTCTTTCTCTTATTTTTTCTCTACCTTTTGTACTATCTCTTGTACAACTTTCTTTTATTTTTTTTCCTTTTTTTGCTTACAGAACAAAAGGATGACACTTTAAGGATATTTCTCAAGAATTTTGTTTTTTTGAATCTATTTCATTCATTACTGAACTGCCTGGGGTTCAGCATATTGTCCTATATATAGTAGATGTTCCTTATATGTTGCTTGGATGAATGAATTTGCTTTTATTTTTCCACAATATTAACTCAAAAGTGATTTTTACATTTTTATTATTTCAAGAAAGGTGACTCTTGTGATGGTGGGACTTGATAATGCTGGTAAAACGGCAACAGCAAAGGGAATCCAAGGAGGTAAGCTGAAAATGTTTCTTATTAAATTACTTGGAATTATTTATTTGGAAATTGCTTTGTTACAGAATCATTTGGCACAGATAGAATACACTCCATTTCTTTATATCCTTAGTATACTTGTGGCTAATATGGTGAACAGATTCTAGCTTAATAGTAGCAGCCTGTTAACATGTTTCAGATGTGAATACATGCAGGGGTGCAGAGGATCCTTGAGGTCTTTGATCAGATAAAAAGCATCACATCTGTCTTCTCAGCACAGGAGGGAAAAAGTTAAAAAAGGACATGCCCGTCCTTAAGGATACCCATCTTCTACTTACACACTCTTGGCCAAAATTTAGTCACAAGACTACACCTAAATAAAAGGGAGGTAGAAACACAGCCAGCATGTCTTTTTTTTGGCATGCCTTGATTTTTTTTCAATATGATATATAATTTTTATAGTTATGTTAAAAGTAGGTCCTCTTTTAAAGAGTTTTATGTCACTTATATTACAACTCATTGGATATATTTACTTAGTCTTAATTTAATGCTGTTTACTACAACATAGAAGCAACTGTGCTAGTGAGTTTGTTGTGTACCCGGTAGATGTAGCATCAGCCAAGCATGTTATGACAATGAATTGAGAAAAAACTTAACATGTGTTTGTTGCTGAAAAGGAATCTTGCAACAAGATATACATTACCAAAAAGTCAGGGGACTTTTATTTATGGAAGTTTATGAAAGAAAATTTACACCTTGCAAAACTTACTTTTGGAGGAAAATGTTTTGCCACCCCATATTCTACCATGTAATATTAGATGTAAATTGTGTGTTATTATCTGTGGATTCTTATGCTACCTCTCATGCTGTTCCTAGCTTATATGCTCACAGAATACTGACTGTCATCATCTAAACCATGCGCTAGCAAACTTTTGTAAAAGAGCCAGATAGTAAATATTTTAGATTTTGAGAATCATGCAGTCTGTTTCCCAACTATGCAGCCCTGACATAGTGATGCAAAAGCAACCATAGGCAATATGTAAACAAATGAGGATGGTCACCTTCCAATGAAACTTTGTTTATGGACACTGAAATCTAATGTGTTATGAAATATTATCCTTTTGATTTTTTTGTAGTATTTTAAAATGTAAAACGCATTCTTAGCTTGAGGGCCATATAAAAATAGGTAGTGAGCCAGATAGGGCCTGCAGGCCATGACTGCTCATCTAAACATCTTCACTTCTTCATTTCTGCAAAGCCTTACATTCAAGGGAACAGAATCTAAGAATTTGTTGTGTGTACTTAGAACATCCTCTTTCCATTAGGATCTTTCTCTTCTGATTTTCACCTCCATATTTCCATCAGTTTCTTTTTTTGAGTTTAGAAAATACTCAGGGTATTACATCATGAACAAAAAGTTAAAGCTGCTTTCCACTTTGAGCTCCCTTCTGGTTCTGTTTTTTTTTCTTCATCTCATATTTGTTTACTCTTCAGCCTATTCCAGTGACTGATTTCTTACCTTTTTTCTTTTTGAAAGATTCCAGTTATATAGAGCTACTTGAAATTTTCCAATGGAACCTTTTCATGCTTTTGTATTTGTTTATGCTCTTCCCACGTGTCTTACTAGAGAGAATATCTGCTTTTAAAGCAGAATATTTATGTATCTCTAAAGACGGAGTTTTTAAATATAGTTTCCTTTATGAAGTCTTTTCCAACCTCCTGCTACCTTTACCTATTACCACCACCATCAGTAGACTTGGCTACTTCCTCTGCTTTGGACTCCACTTACTTATACCTGCTTGTATCGCTACTTAATTACCCCTTTGTTCCTGTATCTCTCCTCTTCTCCAGACCATAAATCCCTAAAGGGCAGTTTTACTAATTTTGGTGTCCCAGTTCAGCCATGCCTTAGATGTAGTAGGCGGTCTTCTTACAACATTTCTGCCATGGCTGCTACTCCTCAGCTTATTTCTGCCTCGTTTCCATTTCTTTTCTTTGCTTTCCTTTCCTTTTTTCCCCTTTCCTTTCCTTTTCTTTTTTCTTTCCTTTTCTTCCTCCTCATTTCTTTTGAGTTATATCTGCTTCTTTTCTAATTGCAGTGTTTAAATCCCCATCCTCCATGTCCTTCATCTAGAATGTTACAGCTTCCTAATCAAGGAATACTTTCCATACCTTGACCTTTGCTTTTTTTGATCAGCTTCTCTTTTTTATGGCTATCAAAGTGATTGTATCAGTTGGATATAGATTCAGTTGTCCTAACAGAGACCTAAAATAACAGTAGCTTAACAAAATAGAATTTTCTCATAGTGGTGCAGGCAGAAGTACTGTAGGGCTGGCATAACACCCCAATGGTGTTACATTCCTTCTCCTTTTTTTTTTTTGCCATTTTTTCCCCCTTGCCTACCTGCTCCAAGATGGCTCACTACTACCATATATTTCAGCTGAGGGAAGAAGTAAAGTGGAAGGGAGGCCATTTTCTTTTCCTTTAAGGGCATGAACTAGAAGCTGCTGCATCACTTCAGTGGTATTTTAATGTGTGTGTGTGTGTGTGTGTGTGTGTGTGTGTGTTGTCTGAGAGAGAGAGAGGCAGCATGAGCAGGGGAGGGTCAGAGAGAGAGGGAGACACAGAATCCGAAGCAGGTTCCAGGCTCTGATCTAGCTGTCAGCACAGAGCTGTTAGCACAGAGCCGGATGTGGGGCTCGAATCCATGAACCGCGAGATCATGACCTGACGCGAAGTCGGACGCTTACCCGACTGAGCCACCCAGGTGCCCCATTTCAGTGGTATTTTAGAGCTGGCTCCTACTTGCTTCTGTTGGCTTATATCACCTATCTAGATCCAGTTAAGTATATCCCATCCCAACCGTGTGTTCAAGTACCTCACACAGGTAGTATGAAATTGGCCATAGTGGGAGTATTTATACCATGGAAAATGACAAAATACTACATATCAAAGTCCTTCAAGAGTGGCTAAACCTTTAATGCTATGCCACTAGCTCACTTTCTAGAATGTACTCTTATAGCCCCTCCTAACTGCCAGGGAGGCTAGGGCTTGTAGTCTTTATCCTAAATAGGTATGTGCTCAGCTAGAAAACTAGATTCTCTGACTGTCCTGTGCTATTTTCTAATAATTTCTAGGGAACAATTGTTTTTTGGGTGGCAAAATTCTTCTTTGTGTAAATTGGTCCCTAGCATTGTTGGATATTAATATATCTTCATTGTATTATAGTTGTTTATCTGTTTCCCCTTTTCTCCTCTATGTAAGAGCTCTGTAGGATCAGAAGATGGATATTATTGTGTATATAGGACCTTGCACGGTGCTTAACATACAATAGATGGTCAATAAATAACTTACTGATTATGTATTTTCACTTTATCTTGGACTTCGTAGACATTGTCTTAGCACATATACTTCACTGAAGTTCTCAGGGTTGGGGGACCATGTGTCTTTGTACCCCTGGTTTTTATATGATCTCTGATCTATAATAGGCCCATAATAAATGGCTACTAGCATGAATGGATGGATGTAAGAACAGTAGCTTCAGCTGTCATGGCAGTCTGGTGTTGTAATTGAGCCACTATATACTTTGTGCTAAGTACTAAGGACACAAAGATAGGTCATAACTGCTGGGAAGGTACAGACCATTGTGAGAGGACCAGCAAGAAGACAGAATATTTTGATAGTGTAGGTGATACTGAAAGTAGGAAGGAATCATCAGAAAGGATTTATAGGGAAGTTGTATCCAGAACATTTAGTCCTGAGTCTTGAAACACAGAATCATGGATAGGAACCAGAGCAAAGGATAGACAAGTCAGGGAGGGAAGACTTAAAGTTTTGACCTGGATTTGAGTCCTGGCTCTGCCTACCATACAACCTTAAAAAAATTACCTAATTTGAATTGGTTTCAAATGTTGAGGGAATGTTGCCCTCATTTTATCTGGGCTTACATTGCTCTCCTGCCTAGAACGTTCTTCTCCCTTCTTTATTCTAATTTTGTGGTTTTTAAGACTTCATTTTTATTTCATGGCCTTTCCAAAGCTTTTATGTACCATAACTTTCCCCTCCCCCCTCTTTACCCTTTTCCTCTTGAATGCCCTTAGTCTTAGTCTGGGCTGCTATACCAATACCGTAGACTGGGTGGCTTAACCAATGGTTATTTCTCACAGTTCCGGAGGTTGGAAGTGTGAGGTCGGGGTGCCAGCACGGTTGGGTTCTTGATGAAAGGGTCCTCTTCCTGATTTACAGACAGTTTTCTTCTTGTCCTGTTCTTATGTGGTACAGAGAGACAGAAAACAAACTTTCTTGTGTCTCTTCTTATAAGGGTATTAATCCCATCATGGGGACTACACCCTCATGACCTCACCCAAACCTAATTACTTCCCAAAGGCTCTAACTCCAGACAGCATCACGTTGGGGATTAGGGTTTTAACATAATAGGAGTTCTGCAAGGTGGTGGGGGGAAAGGGGGCCACAGACACATATAATCGGTAACATCCTTATACTATTCTCTCTAGACTTTTTTCACAGAAATATAGGTTCTTATGTTAGTTCCATTAATATATATCTGTTGATATTATACTGTATATTCTTTGAGGATAACAGCCCTATCTTATTCATCTTTACATCCTGATGCCTAACAAAGTCCTGGTACTGAGTAGGTGTCTGTACTTATTAGTTCCCTCATCCCTACTCCAGCATAGTTGATTTATTTGCACTGTTAATTTCCTGGAGGTACCTCTAAACTCATACTCAAAGATGACTGCCTGTTTTAACTATGGAAACCAATTCTGGCCTGGACTAGATCCATTTTTTTAGATATCTAGGGTAATCCTGTTTTAGGAATATCAAGCTGCCTATATTGCTTCCAAACTTTTCTTTTTCTCCTAGGTAAGGAAGGCCTTAGAAAAGTGTGACTTGTAATGTCTCTGCTAACTTTCTAGGGAGTTGCTTAATTTTTTTTAATGTTCATTTATTTTTGAGAGAGAGAGAGAGATAGAGCGCAAACAGGGGAGGGGCAGAGTGAGAGGGAGACACAGAATCTGAATCTGTCAGCACAGAGCCCAATGAGGGGCTAAACCCACGAGCCCTGAGACCATGACCAGAGCTGAAGTCCAACGCTGAACCAACTGAGCCACCCAGGTGCCTCTAGAGAGTTATTTTAACTGCACTAAGGTAAAAAAAAAAAAAAAAAAAAAAGGCGAGGGTCGCATGGGTGGCTCAGTTGGTTAAGCATCCAACTTTGGCTCAGGTCATGATCTCATGGTTTGTGAGTTTGAGCCCACATCGGGCTGTCCCAACAGCTAGCTCAGAGCCTGGAGCCTGTCTTCAGATTCTATGTCTCCCTCTCTCTACCCCTCCGATGCATGCTCTCTCTCTCAAAAATAAATTAAAAAAAAATTTTTTTTAATAAAAAATAAACTGCACTAAGGCATTTGCTGAAAAGGAATAGTATGTTGCAAGTCTGTTTCCCAGTCACACCTAAGCCTAGCAGCAAATGCCCTTCAAATTTATCTTTGTAATAGCAAATGTTCTGTTGATTGTGGGAATGATAACACTAGTGTTATTCAACAGAGCTTTCTGCAATGATAGAAATGTTCTATATTGGCTCTGTCTAGTAGTAGGGTGGGCCACTAGCCTCATGTGGCTTTGAGCACTTTAAATGTAGAGAGTTCATCTGAGGAACTGAAATTTTAATTTAATTTTAATTGATTTTAATTTAAAAACCCTAATATAGTTTGTGGCCATTGTATTGCCCATGCAGCTATAAACAAAGTCCAGTGGAGTAATATTTGTTGTGGATTCTGGTGATGAAGAGAGAGTGAAAGAGACAAACATGAAGTTTGAATTCTTCTTCCTAACCATTGAGTCACCAGGTTCTATTAATCTTTCATGAGTTCTCTCTTTCCAGTCTTCTCATTTTCATATCTCTCTGAAAAGTGGCTATCACTCTCATTTCTAGTCCATTCTAGAGATTTTGCAAAGATGTACCTTATTAAAGCACTACTTTAGTCACGTTAATTATATATTATTGGTCTGTTGAAATACCTTCTGTGGCTTCCAGTTCTCTGCTTTCAGAACTCCCTTCAGTCTGCATTCCCAGTGTTAAGGGTTTGCTCCAATGTTCAGTTTGTACTTTCTTGCCTTTGCTATTTCTGTTACTTAGTCACTTTTTTGCCTGTCTGCATACTACTTAGCTTTAAGGCCTAAGCTTAAGCTTCTAATTCAAATCTTTCTTGAACCTTAGTTATTTTTTTAATGTTATCATTATTACCACCCCCTTGGCAGGTATAATCATGCATTCTATGCCTTCTTTGTGTTGTCATATACTGAAGTCAAAAAAAATTCAATTTTAAATTTATGAGAACATCTGAAAGATGTCCTAAGAAATAATGAAATCTATGTTTGTAAGCTGTCCTGAAAAGGTTCTTTATTTCAATTATAGCTTTAATTCAGTAATTTAAAAAGAGTGGTCCTACTCTTCATAGCTTCTCCCATTCTTTGGTTCTTCTCAACTATTCGTAGAAGTTGTAATGGTCCCTGGGGATGGCTGTGGTGTTGAAGGGTTGAAACTTTTATTGTTTGTAATTTGGAGAGTCAATAGCCTTAAAGGCAAGAGTTTGTTTATTCATTCTATGGATATTTATTAAGTACCTGTTAAACAGTAGACATTGTTCTAGGAACTGGGGTCAATACCAAACAAATAAGCAAAAGCAGAAATTTTTATCTGCATGGGGCATAAATTCTGGTTGGATATTTTACAGTATCTACCCTTCCTCATATCTACTGGTATTCTTAGATGTAAAACTTAGTCTGTAAGCAAATAATAATCATTCTGTTTAAGACTAAATTATGAAAAATACTTTTTATGTCCTTTAATTTGTGTAGTTAAATTAATGTTATTTATTTAAAGTCTAAGTTGTTTCTTTTGTGTCATTTGAAACAGAGTATCCTGAAGATGTAGCTCCTACTGTTGGATTTTCTAAAATTGACCTTAGACAAGGAAAATTTGAAGTCACCATCTTTGACTTGGGAGGTGGAAAAAGGATTCGGGGAATCTGGAAGAATTACTATGCTGAATCCTATGGGGTAATATTTGTTGTGGATTCCAGTGATGAAGAGAGAATGGAAGAGACAAAAGAAACCATGTCAGAAGTACTAAGACATCCTAGGATATCGGGAAAGCCTATACTGGTGTAAGTAATGTTTGTGTCATTGTAAACACAGGAGCAGTGGCATTAGTTAATAAAAAAAAAATTGTCGGAGTTACAAAATAAGCTAAGCTGAATAAACTAAAATGGTCACATTCTAGCATAATAAAATGTATCCAATTAATGGGATTGTGTATATAGTGAGGCCTTACTGTGATGTTCTCCATGGGGATTAGGGTTAAGGCTATATTATGAAGAAGAGTTATACTTAGATCTTCTGCGTGTATAAACTTTTTGTTTTATTTGACAATATACTTTCTATCAAATTTTACATTTTGAAATGACCTATTAATATGATTCTGGAATGTTTTTAAATTTTTATCCCTGTTTTAATAACTTTATGTTTTGCCTTTGTCCTATTAAAGAGTATTCTTGTTTGGAAGTTATTTAAAAAGTTTTATTCTTCCAATGCCACATTGATTTCTAAATTTTTATTTCTGTATTTCCAAATTGAATATGTGATCTGTGTTGTTATCAACTCAGTCCTATGCTTTTCTCACTTTGTCTGGCTGCCTAAACACTCTTTAAAAAGTGACCAAGGACTTTTACACCATCTGCCCTCATAGCCTTCCTCATAGTGAACACCAGATGGTGCTGTAACTATAAGACATAGTATAAAGTGAAAGTTCCTTAAATTGCTCTTGAAATCAGACTGAGCTGAATGTGTTCCCTTGCCTTCTTGTCCCTTTTTTTTCATGCTTGTTTCATTACTGAGGATTAAAAAAAACCCAACCTGATTACCACATGGTTACGTGAGAAATTGTAAGCAGTTTCTCAGTGGTTCTAAATAGTAAGCGAACATTTTTTAATGAGGCAGTTTGGAAGCTCTGATTACACAAATAAGACTTTATGGCATTATTTATTAGTACAGGTTTTATGGCTTAATTTTTATATATTTAACCAATTAGAGAAGTTATTTAATTTGTGTAATTTCTCACCTTTATTGAATCTGAAGGAAAGCTTAATAGACACATATCGAAGATAGGCTAAATTAGTCTCTAATGTTTCAGCAGAGAATCAGTGTCTTCTAAAGTAAAATGTATTAATGACTGAGAAGACTAATACTCATGTTTAAAATAATTGTTTGTGCCGGTTTTAACCTAATAGTCATTTACTGAATTCTTGCATTTATTCATTCATGCATGTATTAATGAAGCAAGTGTTTATTGAGCATCCACTATGTGCTAGTCCTTGTCCTGGTGATGGGGATACCGTTGGGAACAGAAATAATATAAATCCATGTATGACCTCAGAAGCTTACATTCTAGGGCTGGAGACACACAGTGAATGTAATAAATAAGTTATATCAGACATTAGGTGATAAGTATATTGAAAAAAAAGCAGGTAAAGATCTGGAATCCTGTGGTGATGGTATGGCAGGGGTATGCTGCTCTTATAATCAGGGTAATCATAGTAGGTCTTACTGAGAAGATGGCACTGGAGGGGACAGAGGCAGTCAGGTAGATAGATGTGGAAAAGCCCCGAGGTGGGAGCATGCAGTTCGTAAGTGACTACAGATATCACTGAGGAATCAAATAATGGTCCGCAGGAAACCTGCTTCCAAGCCCTTCACCTCTCTCACCTAGTAGATTATCAGAATAGAGGGGGAAAAATCCCGGAAAACCTCCAGTAGGGGATTGCTTCACCATTATAATTTTGTGGTCAGTGAGATCTCACAAAGACATGAGAATTCATTATGGATACTATAATATGCTTGTGAAATATATAATGATTTGTCATTTGACCAGTTTTCTGGGGAATTTTATAACAGAAGGGTTTTTTTTATTAATATAGGTAAACTGCTTTTTGAAATAAGTGTACTTAAAGAGTATACAAAATATACAAAAAAGTATAAATTTTTAATAAATTTAGAACATGTAGGGAAGAGTGAGTTACAAAACATTGATCAAGAGGTGCATGGGTGGCTCAGTCAGTTAAGCATCCAATTCTTGATCTCGGCTCAGGTCATGATCTTAGGTTCATGAGTTCAAGCCCCACATCAGGCTCTGCACTGACAGAGCTTGGGATTCTGTCTCTCACTCTGCCCTCAAAATAAATAAATAAATTTTTAAAAAGTTGATCGACTGTACAGAGCCAACTACTACTAACATTTTGATGAATTTCCTATGCATAGTTTTGCAAAATTTGTAATGTGTACATTTGCATATAATATATAAAATTTTTTATCTCGCCTTTCTACATTTTTATGCATTTTTTAAAGTTTATTTTTTTTGTGAGAGACATAGAGCACATGAGCAGGGGAGGGGCAGAGAGAGAGGGAGAGAGGATTCTAAGCAGGCTCTGTGTTGTCAGTGTGAAGCCCCATGTGAGGCTCGATTTCATGAAATGTGAGATTATAACCTGAGCCAAAATCAAGAGTCTGACGCTCAACTGACTGAGCCACTCAGGGTCCCCCTAAGATTTTTATTTTATATATATGTAAATATATATATATATATGTTTTTATATGTATTTATATATATAAATATAAATTTACTTATTGTTTTTAAGTAAGCTCTCATGACCTTGAGATCAAGAGTCACATGCTCTTCTGACTGAGCCAGCCAGGAGTCCCTGTATCTCACCTTTTTTTAATGTTTCTAAATCCCTTTTAAGTATCTACTCCAAACCTGTGTTTGGAAATTCTCCTGTTTACCTTTTTCTCTCTGACCTAGAAGTAATTTCTCTTATTGATATTACTGTATTAATATCATTTGAGTCTCTACTTCTACTTCTATTCCCCTTGATGTGCATCCTTCATCCCCTCTATATTCTTCCCTTGTACTACTGACAGGTCTCCTGACCAGTCTCTCTGTTGTCTCTCCCGTCCTCCAGACTCTCCTCTGCATTGCTAGCAGGAGGCTTTTTCTTTATTTCATCTTTTTCAACTTTACAAAATTTGGTGTTTTACCAAAAAATTTGATGTTTTACAAAACCAGTATGTGCTTTAACAAGTGAAACAATGAAGGAGTATATAGAGAATGTGAGAGCTCTTTTTAACATACACATGTAATCATTTTACAGCTCCTCTGCTTAAAGGTCCTTCAGGTTGCCTTTGCAGGTAATTCTGTGTAGCTGATACAAGCCTAGCATGTAATAGGTGTGACATTGAATAGTCCAGTAGGTAATAAGTGGGAAGGGCTTCTGGCAGAACCCTGCTAAGCTCAGTGCTAGGAGCTCTGGTGGGTTGTGGAGAGGTAGGGGGAGAGCACCTAAATTAGGAGACAGGCTACAGTGCCCTTTGTTGCACTTAGCTGCTTCCTTCCAGTCCACAAACATCTGGACCTATCAGGAGCAAAACTCAGTGACAGCATCTCATCTCATCTTCTGTTCCTCCCTTGACTGAACCTAGACTAGCTGATTTAGGACCTACAAAGCCTCTCAGAACTAACTTCAACATCTAGATAAGTTTCTCTTCCCACCATCCAATGATGAGCAAATAGAACAATATCAGACCTCTGAGAAAATTCAGCCATTCAATAGAAGGAAATAAACCTGAAAAATTAGAATACCGTCTATTGTCACAAAACTGCAAATTGGTGGCAGCAGGATTCATTTGTGCTGTAGGAGCAAAGTTAGATGACCACAGTAGCAGGTCCCGGACAATCTCTGGCTCTGTCCGACTTGCTTTTGCACACCAGCCTGACAGCATGTGTCACTGCAAATGAAGCCGCAGCCAAATTTCACTTCATGTCACCGCCTTGAGTGTTCTCTTAAAAGGTCTGAATCATAGAACATCATTAGGCTTCTGTGTTTTATTAGCTCAGAAGTCCTATTTTATATTTCTATAGTGTTTACTACTTAATAAGCATAATATTTTGATTAAAATCTCTGAAATCATGGTGAAAAGTTGAACAACCATGGGTTTAGAGAGAAGATAGAGAGTCTGGAACCTGGATTCTAAGAGCTGGTGTGCATTTGTTTATGAGTCTGGCAAATCACTTCACTTCTTTGGACTTAGTGGTTAAACACCTTTTCTATATTAAAAGCAGATTCAAGATATTGTAATTCTGCTTTGTATTTAGCTGTATATAATCACATGAACCATTTCAGTAAAAAAGTAAAAGTGATTGAAGAGATTAAAAATAGACACTATTTGGGGTGTCTGGGTGGCTTAGTCGGTTAAGCACCTGACTTCAGCTCAGGTCGTGGTCTGGTGGCCTGTGGGTTCAAGCCCCACATCGGGTTCTGTGCTGACAGCTCAGAACCTGGAGCATGTTTCAGATTCTGTACCTCCCTCTTTCTCTGCCCTTCCCCTGCTCATGCTTTGTCTCTCTCTGTCTCAAAAATAAATTTAAAAAAAAATTAAAAAGAAAACAAATGCTGTTCAAACTTTCTACTCTGTAATCATGTTAACCTATTTATTTACTTAGAAAGTGTTCCTTTTACTCTCATAGCTATAATAGAGTTTAACCTATACTCTAATGAGCTAAGGTATGAATTATATTATCTACCCTCATGTACCCCTCTATACTCTTGCTTTAACAGTTTATAACTTAATTTTTAAAAAACTAAAATTAGATACTCTGAACAGATGAAGACCTTTTCAATAGAAAAAAGTAAATAACTCTTGTAGGTGTATGAATAGCACTGGAATCAACATAATCTCCAATTTCTTCTTTAGTTGAAAGATAATTGACATATAAATTAGTTTCAGGTGTACAACATAGTGATTCAACTATTATATATACATTACAAAATGCTCACCATGTTAAGTGTAGTTACCATCTGTCATACACTTACTATAACATTATTAACTGTATTCCCATGCTGTACTTTTCCTCCCCATGACTTATTTATTTTACAGCTGAGTTTTAACCTCTTAATCTCTTTCACCTATTTTACCTGTCCCCCATCCCCTTCCAGCAGTAATCCCGAAATTTAAGATCAACACCCACTAGAAATTTTTTGTTAATAATACAAGGCAGTATTTGTTGATTACTTGTGGAAAGAACTGAGCTGAAGCTTTCCTTTTTTATGGTTGA